GGGGGGGGGCGGGTAGCTGAATAGAAAAAGGCAGCGTTAAAACAGAGGTTCAGCCTAAAAATAGATGATGTGGTTGGATTAGTTTAGGGGTGAGGGTGGTGATGGAGGTGGTTTTACATGTGTGAGTGCAGGTGTGAAATGAATGCATTTCAGTTATATCCAGGTTTATTTAGACGTCAACATTTATTTTGACATTTCACATGGAAGATACTTAAATATGGGTTCTCAGTTTGTGTTTGGCTGTCTGTCACAGTCCACAAAAAAAAGCACCATGTTTGAAGCAAAGAGACAGTTTTGCACTTGACACCATGAAAGCCTCTCGGGAACAGTTTGACAGTATCCCTGTAAATCACTGGCCATAATAAATGGTTGGGCAAGGCTTAAATGCTGTGTTCTGTCAAATCATACAGCTTTTCAGGAACAGGTTTTTACCTTTTTTTAAAGGCTCTGTATCATGCACTGGTACTTGTAAGTCCCTATTAATTTGCAGTCCTTCACGTACATGGGTAGTATACTGTACATTCCTAATGTCTTGTGTTTTCTGGCTCTTTAGGTACTACTGGAAAGGGGAAATCCAGGATGCAAGTGAAATTCTCATGGTAAGCTTACTGAGAGAGTCCCTTTGTGATCAACATGCATTCAACAATCATATTTAAACAGAAACCAGAACTGTAAGATAAGACGTACCTGTTGTTGCAGCTGGTGAAAACAAAGACCTCGAGGATCCAGCAACTCATAGACTGTGTGAGGTGAGTGGTTGTTTTATGTAAAGGTTATTTCAGATGATTGAAAACTGTACTTTAAAATACTGTTCAAGTTTCAGACTAACTCATTGCTTAACATGCTTAATATAACATGCATTAAAGGTTCATTCCATTTATTATCATTTATTGTTTACTTAAAATGTCCTTACTTCACTGAAGAGGTGAACAAATAGTACTGTGCCACTGTACTGTTCAACAAAAGCAGTCACTGTGATCAAACAATTAGGATATTTTATTCATAAAAAGCACATTTCATTATATACTAGTGTTCCAATTTACTGTTGCTGTGTGTTAGAGTAATTGGAGGAAGTAGGACAGGATTTAGTTGTTTCAGCTTGAACATTATTTTGAATAAAACATCCACATTCAAAAGCAGATTTTCCTCATTTTTTTAAAATAATTGTTTGATCGTAATTTGTAACTCATTGTTTGAATAATTATGAAGTAGAATTGCAGAAGTTGGTAGATGCTTTAACTATTGGGATGCCAGATGCAAGTTCCCATATGTTACTTAAAATACCATTCAACGTCATCAAATTAGCTTTTAGGCATTAATCATTTATGTCTTCTCATTTGGCCATTTGTGATTTGTGAGTTGTTAAAATTGCATCTCTTACAACATAAAGTACACAGACTTTAGGTAATGCATTCTCAGAACGTTGGAGGATTTCAAAGCACTACCTCCTCTAGGTATACTGGGAAGCAACTCCTTATGGTTGCTGCTTCCTGCTTTGCTACAGTCCAAATGCTCTCCTCACTTAGCTTAGACACTCTCTGCTTAACTGTTATTTTTGCTACTTTTTCTTACTTTTTCCTACTACAAAACCGTAACCGTAATTTAACCCAGTAACTTAAACAGCAACCTAGTGAACGACTGACAGAATTGTGCCCTAGAATGCACTGTGCCTCTCTGTTCATCAGACTCGATAAAGTGCACGGACTGTCATAAATTGTTGCAGAAGATTGCTGTACTCAAGACATGGATATTTGAACGGAAGAAGTCTTCTGAACTCCACAGCACTCTGCCAATGTCTTCTGCTGGTGGTTTGGCTCATCAGAACTCAGCTCAAAAATATGTAAATGGACAGCTTTCTCTAAATCACTTCCAAGACTCACTGAAACAAAACCGGTGAATTCATGTGCTATGAATGGGGTTTCTGCCTGCTGGGATAATCTAGGTGCAGAACCTAAAGATAAGTGCAAGACTTTACTCCCACAGAGGGCAAAAAAAGACAGATTCAGTTCAGCCAACTTCGACTCCTGGCGGGAAGCCAAGGGGGGGGCATAAACACAGACCACAGCCACAACTGACATTACAACTGGGAAACAGGTTTGAACCAAATCTCCATGAGACAGGTGTTGAGAGGAAAAAGCTTTGTGGAAAAAAATTCATCTGAAGAGTCAATTTAACATCTGACTGTAATTACAGTGAGAGACACCGCTATGATAAATAAACAAACCCAAAGTAATACAGTGATATTTTCAGAGAGAATTCAGAACTGCCAAAGCAGGATGCCACTAAACTGTTCAACTGTCTGGAAAAACTGAAATCCGAGTTTTTTTAGTAGTGGCCCCCCTGCCAATGGTCAACAGAGCGATCAACAGGTTCAGCAGACTCTTATCACGGAATACATGGCTCAGCAAAACCTGCGGTCTGAAAGGGATCTTCTATATTGATAGCTGCAATCTCTTGTGGTTAAAGTACTGATGGACCGTTTTCAATTCAGCCTGTGACAACCAACGGCCAAGTCTAAGATGGTGTGCCCTGATACACAGCAGCTTCAGCACCATGAAGACAAACATCACAGCCTCAATTTCAGCGTGTTGACAACCAGCTCGTGGATCAGTCTTCTAATTCCTCCTCCCGGCATTCTCCCCTCTCCCCTCTCCACTGAACTAAAATGGAAGTGCTGGTTAACGCTGGCATTAAATTCACCCCCCCAGTCACTGCCACAACTGATGCCTCCACCCTGCCCAAGCACATTCTGTAACACCAACTGTGCCGATAACAAAGACAGAAGAGAAAAAGATGGAACAGTTCAGCTCAGATGAGAGACAAAGGAACTAAATGTGGTGTTAATGGATGTCAGTAAGCTGCACTGCTTTATCTCGAATCACCGCAATTCAAATCAACACCAAGGACATCCGCCTGACTGAGCCAACACACAATAAGGGGCCCACTCAGGGCTTTATCATCTCCAAGGCTCCTAACATTTCTAAGGTTATGGTGACTGATGTTGCTCTTTTTGACCAGTCTTGTGTTTTCTTTGATATAACTCGCAATCTTAATGGCATCTTAATCATAATCAAACAATAGTATATCACTGAAAACACCCGTCAAATATTCATTCAGGCTTTCTCTTTGATGCCTGCACCCACTTTGGTCTCAGTCAGTGATCTTGTAGATAATTTTGATTCTGAAATTACAAATATTATTGATAATAATAAATATTAAAAATTATTAAATAAATATTATAGACTGCTCTTCTTAAGGTCTTGAATGACATCCACTTAAAAACAGACAGTGGAAAGGTTTCAGTCTAATTATATCTCAGTGTTGCCTTTGAGCATTGGTCGACCTTAACGTATCAATAGAAAGACTGGAAAACAGGATAGGACTCTGATCTAGAGTCCCCCAAGGCTCCATTCTTGGCCTCTTAATTTTATCATGTACAGGCTCCCACTGGCACAGACAATAACAAAATATCTTATCGTAATTATGCAGACATAGGCACATATTTACATAACGATATCACAATGTGACTAAGGTCCCATACAATCACTGAGTAAATGCATCGAACAAATCAATTTTTCTCCAGTTAACCAAAGATAAAACTGAAACGATCTTTGGACCCAAAGACAGAAGGATTAAAAGTCAGTGCTCAGCTTCAGTCACTAATGTTAAAGGGACACTTCACCCATTTGCATTAAGCTTTGTATCGTTAGAAACCCAGTCATATTTTTGAATGGTCGTGCACCATTCCCTCATTTTCCCCTGAGAACGGAGAAATACGGAATATTTCAGTGTTGCAACTTCCTGCTAATCCAATGAATAAAAAATGTCATTTGCAATCACTGAGAGAAGCAGAAGTCTCATATCATTTGTAGAGGGAGTAGACTACCAAACAACTCTATTCTCCCCATCAAAAGAGAGGCACCAAATTAAAATTATGACAATTCGACATACATAGAAATATAACACACATTTCAATAAAGAATTAATGTTTCCACGGGTGAAATGCTTGAAAGACCACAAACAAAGCCAGAAATCTTGGTGTAGTCATGGATTCCTAAATTCTAACATCCACTTTAAGACAATTACAAAATCAGCCTGCTATCACCACAAGAATATATCAAGAATTAAAGAACTTTCATTTATCTTTAGTGGGGTCGACTAATGTGATTTAGTAATGTCTTTAAAAGTCTCTCTAAAAAGTTGATTATACAGCTGCAGCTGATTCAGAACTCTACACGTTTTTAATTCAAAACTTAACAGGAGTTTCATGCAATATTATTAAGTAAAAAGTGGAACTCTTTACCTTCTATTGTACCACTGAGTAATATCTAATTCCTTTATATTTGTCTTTTAATTGCCCTTAGTTTTGTCTAATCTGACATGTTTAGGGTTTGTGTTTGTGTGGGTCACTTCAAGGTTCTTCCACCCTTATGCAAACCCAGAAGTCCTCAGCTTCCCGGTGGAGGACGGCAGTCTGGCTTACATGAAGTGGATGGATGAAGCAATTCCAGATGACTGATACATCATTAAAATCAAAGCCAATCTCTGTATGGACAGCAGCCGAACAAGGAAGCTGAGCCATGTTCACAGGCTGTTGTTTGAAGGCTTTGGATTGAAGGGTACCGCTATGATGTTCTCAGTTAACTCTCACTCGTAAAACTGAACTAGCATGGCTTAAACTGACCGTGAACAAAGTTTTAAAAATGGATGACAATTTAAACAGCCTGTCGTAGAGTAAGTATGAGTGAGAGTCCAAAATTTACAAAATGATAGACAAAATGGAGGAATCACCTCTCTGTCTGATGTATTATTTGCCCACACCTCATTTTATACATTGTTTCAACACTTATACAGATAACACTTACCTTTAATAGCAATGAACTTTGAGTATTTTGCGTTTGATGAAACATGCTCTCTTGTCCTGCTTTTTTAATGTATTCATTTAAGATTATCACTCTTAGGTAGCCATTAAGGTTTGCCTTTAAGGCATGTTTAACATAGTAATAGTTTGTGCTGGAACATATGGTACATCACATGGTATACTGTAGCCATGTACTGCTTGTCCTTGAACATATCATTACCTATACTGTAACATATCCTTTTACTATATTTATTGTTATGAATTCAAAAGTCAAACGATTTTGTAAAGCTGTGATCAAAGACAAGTAAGCCTTCCAAGAGAAACCTGATCAGCACCTACAGTTCAATAGGTTATTGATCTGTCAGGCTGTAGAAGATTTCCTTTATTGAAGCAAAAGACGCAGTAAGCGACACATAACTGTTGGCCTTGTGTGCTGTATGTATGTTTAATTACAAGGGCATCACTGCTGAATCTTAGTGCTGGTCTGCTCCAGGTTAGCTCAGCTTGTACCAATAAAACATTTACTGCTACCTTGTATAACCTCAAATAAAGCTACACAGAGTTGCTGAGAATAAATTAACAAACAGATATGAATGATAGCATTTGGCAGCATTGTGCAAGTTGACCCGGTTTCCCACTTGTATTTCTAATCACTTAATTCTAATCTGTTGTGATCTCCGCAGGAGTAGTCTTGCAAAAATAAATCTTTAATTGGATAATGAAAACAAACTAATTTGTTAATCAGCTCACACTTGCACATCTTGAGAGCATCACAAGTCTTATTATCTGATACCAGGAGATGTGGTACATGACCACAGAGATGGCACATACATTTTGTTGAATTCTATTATGCCTGTACATTTTCTGTTATTTAAATTTCAAAAGGAACTTCAATATTCTAAAATACAACAGATCTGCCAGTTATACCATGCCATATTTGTTGTTATACAGGTCAGCCATGCATGCTTACCTCTAACAAAAATACACACTAAGCCTCAGTCTGCAGAAAGCAGTTCCGGCATGAGGCCCCAACAAAGGAACTGCAGACATGGTTTAGTCGGGTGTTGTGTCTATGGAGCCAAAATAATCCTCCCGATCAAGTCCAGAGACCAGGTCATTTGGTGGCAGTGTGTGTGTGTGTGTGTGTGTGTGTGTGTTGCGGGGGGGGTCTTTTGCTTCAATGCTTATGTATCTATTCACATCAATGTGTATGTACAGGATGTGTGTACAAGCCATGTTTAAATATGCCATACATACTTAAAGGTACTTGCGTGCCTTTGTAAGTAGCTATGACCAACTGGTGAACAATGACATGTAAAATAAATATTGCAATTCATCATTGCAAAAACTGAAAAAGCATCCTGCAATTTGATTAAATGTTCACTAGATGGTGGTGTTTCAATATACATAAACAAACAAATGCAACTGTTAATAGATATTTATATGAGAATCATAGTGGATTATTATAGATTGCATGTCATTCTGCTCATTTCCCAATCCAATAAAATTCTAGTATGTTGCCATTACTACTCACTTGCACTCCTGTCCTACCAAGAAGTAATATGAAAGGTTTTAGTGCAGCTTTTCTCCTCTACTTCATATGAAAGCAGATACTATAGTGAGTTAGTATGCCGAAGTGTATAATAATTATTGGTATTATTATTATTATTATATTATTATTATGATATATATATATAGTATATATATATATATATAAGTATACCAACCTTGATAAGCACAGTTGCTGTACATCAGATACATAGTTTTCACTACTCTAAATAATACTAATCATGCACCTCGTATAGAATCTCACTTGCTTACAATTAATTATTTTCAACTGAATCCATCTGTACTTCTGTAAAGACCTTCTATGCAGTACATTCAAAGCCTAATTGGTTGAGACAACTAAGAAAATACTATATATATATATATATATTCTTACATGAATATTATCCAAGTTGTGTAAACACAGAGCCATATGGCTGGCTCTTTTTCTTGTGTGTCATTAAATTCTCCATGGGATTCAGAGTTAGGAACAGGATAATTAAGAATAAGCTCTAAGAAACAGACGCTGATAACATGCTCCCACTGAGCAATTCAATAAACTGCGGATATTAACACACACACACATGCACACACACACACACACACACGCACACAGCTATGTGATCCAGCAAGGCAAGGGCAGTGAGTGAGTGATTTTTATAAACTTTGTATAAATTGGCTATCAAGCAAATGTGTAGCTTTTATAAATATATATATATATATATATATATAGCAGCAGTAAGATTAATAGTTTTTCTCTAATAATTTAACTAAATGTTCTAGCTTTCCCAACACAGTTGACATCATCTCTCGACATTACAAACCATTAAAAAAAAAAAAAGTTTTACAGACAAATGTTTCATTTTCGTTAACAGTACCATTATCACATCCATTAAGCATGCCTGGCTTTTTGTTTCAGTTTACATTGTGTTGCTTTTACAAAAGTTGTTCTCTAGTGTGTCTAACAGTGCTATAACAACCCAGGTTCAGGTCATGGGCAAATGCAGGTTAGGAACTCAAACTTTACTTATGACACCTGCCATGGACTGTAAGCAACTGTAAACTAACAGTTCTCTCTCAGCACAGTGGCCTGTCATTTTCATGAATGGATAAAAACAGGCCCCTGACACAGTTCTATAAGTAAACAACAATTTAGAGAGGTCAACATGGTGCAAGTAAACGCCTTTCAAAAGACTATAGGAGCTGCTTTTGTGAAAAACGAGGTCAGTTTGAGAAAAGGCTCTCTTGCCAGACCTACATAGACATAATGTACTATTGCTTTTATAATTTAGTTTGTTTAACAGCACATTGAGCAATCACGTGTTGATTTATGTTTCTGTAAACAATCCCATTTTCCCTATATTCTCTTGCAGACATTCGAGTCCAAACCTTGAATAAGTACAACATGGTGTGCAAACTGTGACAGAATATTAATAGATAAACAAACTAAACTAAAAAGAAAATCAAGTTACATGACATGTAATGACATTCACATGCATTTACATATTATCTCTTAAACAGTACATCCTGCATTCTCCGCTTGTGTTTAGTACAGATGCCTGGATCAGGGCTGTATTCACAATAAATGACCAAGATTTGCTAATTGATAGCATGAGAGGTAGAAGAATTTACTTCCTGTGAAAATAGATTAAAAACCATGAGTGTTCATGTATTTTTGGGTGCAATGTAAAGTATATTACCGCTCTTGTAGTCACCTGATCTGGGTCACAAAGCTAATTTGGTGTCTCATTGAATTGTGTAGTATAGTGGTGAGTCAAAAAGCATTGTCAAGATGAAATGATTACTTTGAGCACTTGTATTGCTACTACTGGATATAGGCAAAGGATTGTGGCTGCAGTTTTGGTGACTAGAGATCAGTGCAATCCTGGTGAGAGAAACAGAGTGGCACAATCTGGAAAAGGGGCTTTGAGCAGGCTGAATACATTGTAGGTAGGAGGAATATTTTAGCGGCTGACAGTTTACTAATGGGCTGGGAGCCCTGATCAGCTACTCCAGGCAAAAAAAATTGCTCTTTCTTGGGGAGGTGCAACATAATTATGCACCATCCGAGGCAAATGATCTACTTTTTTAATCTAAATGCATATTTTAGAATAAAATTATATATTTGCTGCCTTCTTAAAAAGTTTTGCCTTCACAAAAAATGTAATGTGTATTAAATAAAATGCCTTCACAGTTAACCAAGATGGAATTTTTAAATAGGTTGAGAATGAGCTTTTATATTTAACACAGAATGGTTCACAAGGCAGCCATGTTTACGGGCATATTCTTGCCTGCCACAGAGGAAGAGGAGGTTTGCTTTAGATAGCTAACAAATAATAGCATGTATGAAAGATGAATGACATGCCTAATGAGCAAAGAAAACAGGACTGTAAGAAACAGTGACGTTAAAAACTTTGGCAGACGGCAGACAACAAGGAAGAACACAGGTGTGACCATTTTAAGCACTGGAAATGGACAGAGGACTTTGAAGTGCTGCAGAGTTGGACAGCTAACTAACCAAATTATTCTAAGCTGTTTTTAAGAGCGAGTAGGGACCTTTTGTGAAATCCATGGAAAAAAGTTACTGCTCCTTTAAAAAGGTACCCAGCCATGCATAATGACATGTGTGTTAGCAGCCACGCATAATGACATGTATTAGCAGGCGTGCATAATTACACTGTTTTGGAACATTGCTTAAACGATAAACTGCAGATTAAATACAGATAACTGACCTGGTGTCATCTAATGGCTACAGGGTTTTAATGAAGTGAAAAAGAAGACTCTTTCATCTTGCAAGCAGTCAAGGACAATATTATTAAGAATCTCTGACTCATCTAACCACCTATAGACTTTGCATTTTAACACGTAAATGAACACAAAGTGAAACGAGGAAGACCTACAGTTTGATTTTCACACTCATGTTTGCAGTTTGTGGTGAGCCTTGCAGGTTTTAATATGGTAGAGTGAGTGGATTTCTTGTCTTCTCTCATGTAAACATGGTGGCATTTCGCCATTCACTGGACGCAAATTCACTAAAGATAAGATCTCACGCAGCCAAACAGATGTTGTGGTACATGTAAGCTTTGAACTGGCTTAGCGTTCTCTGCGTTGCAAGGTTACATGGAGGGGAGGGAAGAGTAATGGCTCAGTGCCCGAGTGAGTAAGCCTAGACACTAAAGGTGATTGCTTTCTTCCTTTCCTCAACACCTCCTCTTCTTCATCCCTCCCTCCTCATGCTCCTCCCATCTCCCTGCCTCTTTGCACCTCATAAATCTCCATCTGCACCACATGTGTTTTGTGTACAGACATACACATCCACACGCGCAGAAGATGAGAATGAGAAAAATTTGAGAATGAAAATTGGGGACATTTGGTGAGGTAATAAGGGAGCTCATTTCTTCTCCCATACCTTCCTCCTGGCTCTGCTGGCTCGCTTGCTCACTCCCTGAGCTGCTACGCGGACTCCGTCATCAAAACACACAGTGAGGCGTGCTGGCTTGCTCACTCTCTGTACACACACACACACACACACAGTCTTTCACACTGGAGCCAACATTCAAGATGCAGCAGCAAGAGAGCATGTCTTCTGATTCCCTGTCAGGTAAAAAATGCAAAATTAGATGTGTATCTCTGTCATCACTCCCTTTTCCTGCATCATTATCCATCTCGTTTCCCTCCTTGCCCTCCTTTCACTGTTAAATGACACATTCTTATTTCCTCTCTCTTGTTTCCCTGGTTTCTCTCTCCCATTCTCCCTTTCTGTATCCATCTGTCCATGTTTCTTTTTGTGTTTCTTTTCCTCTTATGTATGCCCATGAGTACAGGTGTCTTGCTTTAAGGGGTGATAATGACTGTTATTGTAGAAAAACAGGAGGTGTACCTTTTTCCATATGGCAGCGCTGGAATGAGTGCATTACGGTGGAGTGGCTCCTGCTACTACGGCTGCCTCCCATCCAAAGCACATCTGTGAAAGTACATATGGACTAGAGAATATTGCAATCTTCTGACCTACATACAATGACAAATATTGTGCCTGCTACTTTAGGTCTCTCTGTTTTTCTTTAACTTAACCGCCTGCGGTATTTTACAGTTGATTGTCACAGCGTAAAGTGGTGTTCTGAGTGTCCTTCTATGGAGAGACTGCACAATTTGCATGCTGCCTGCATTGGAAATGCAGTCCATACATGGAATTTAAAAAGTGAGATAAAAGAAAAGTTTCTTGGTTTGTTAAACAGTGGAAGAGTCTGTTTAAATGTCTTGTGCTTGACCCGTGGAGGTTAATAGTTGTCCTTGGTAATGAGTAAAATCCTGCTGGGTCTTGAGCTGGTAACTAGACTGTGGATCTTTCATTAGTTATGTAATTCAATTAATTGGAGCCAGTAAGATGTTACCCTGGAGGTACAAATTCATTGCTGGTCAGGTTTATTTTGATTTACACTGACTGAATGCTAGGTTACACCACACTGGTGAGAATTATGGCATTTAAAATCAGGAGAACTTGTTTTTTTTCCCCTTTGTTGCACAGCATCAAACTCATTAAGGCCATGTGAGCCTGAGAACAGAAACCTCAGCTAATAATGAGACTTCGCATGGTGAAGGGAAAAATTTAATTTGCATTCAATTTCAACTCTGAATGACTTGACAACAGCTCAAATGATGTGTTTTACTTCTCATTCACAGACTTTTTATCAACCACATTATTTAACAAGCAAACAATCTGATTTGCTGCTGAAGTGACCATGCATTTATTCATGTATTTATGAAGTTTTTTCTGAGAGGG